CAATTTTATGGATTATTAATCTGGATTTATAATTGTAGAACCTGATGAGAAATTATTGAAAAGAATATTCTTCGTTCATACAATTGTGTTTTTAATGTAAATGTTTCTCAATCCTATAAAAGTTAAATGGATTATGTTAGTTTTCGATTACAATCTTGATATCCATTGTCATTCATAATATTTAGGATCTACAGATTTTCCTTCAAATTTCCTCTAGTCAGTTTAGTAGTTTCCCAAAGATCGACGACTTTTTTTACCATTATCCCCAAAAAGAAGAAGAGAAAAAACATCGATCATTTGACATTACTGTCACCTACCTTTACTTACAGTATATAGAGCTCTAGCCGTGGATTCTAAGGATTGTGAGGAATACTTAGCGATATTATCAACACATTTAATATCCAGGTTTTGGAATTTGTACAACCAAGTTCAACTTACAAAATGTCAAATGAAGTCTGATCGACTGACTGACGAAATTCGTTCTCATTTCCACTTGTTATTAAATTATTCCTGTTTATGTTATTTAAACTTTGAGTTCGCACCAGGTTTTCTATTGTACAATTTACATTACATGTCAAACTTACTAACTTTTTTTATTATTCGTGTGATTTGCAGGGTTTTTCAGAACGCGCTGTGACCAAGGTTTTACACTACATGATTCGTCGAGGTGAAGTACAGTATAGGATGCAAAGGCGTATTTTGTACCGAATTAAATAGAGATATCCAACTTTATTACATTATACTTGTATTGTTTAATCTTTTCACCGGAGAATTTGTTTTATATAAAGATTATCTTGTAACTTTTTCCAAACATCAGTACACTGCATTTATGTATTTTAAATAAAATTGTCTGTTACAGTAATGTATAGCGTCAAACAAATTTAGTTCTGATATCAAAGGGAATTTACTGAATTTTATTTGTTGACACTAGAACAGTGCATGGTGTAGTTCATTCAATTTAATTGATTATAAGATATTTGACGCATGATTGGTAAGAAAAGACCAGGTTAAGTAGTAGATTTCGTATGGTTAATCAGATGATAGAGAGCTTAGATTACATCGATTGATCATCACCTATGTAGAAAGATATTAATTGTCCTAATCTAAGGTGTGGAAATTTGATTTAATCGCCAAAAGACATCTTGTAGTATTATTAATTGTTGTATTTGATATATCTTATCAATTGATAAACATGAAGATCAGATGGAACTGTATAGAATGATGTAATTTGAGATTCTGGTGAGAGTTAGTTGTTAGCATATCCTAGATATTACAGAAATCGGTCAGTGTTTCGTACACCACAAATGGGTGTACAATGGATAAAAATATTAGCGAAAAAGTACATGTGCCTACTTTTTCTCTCGCATTTGACCACTAGATCATGTCAGAAGCTTGATTCATGTTCTAAGAGCGACTAACCAACATTGTTTACCGAGAAGTTTCTTTTTGTCGATTAACGGAGGTAGGCTACTATCCATTAAGTTAAATAATTGTAAGCAAATGGCAACGACTCGATAAAATGAGTGCGTGCTAGGTACCTTAAAGTGTTATCGCTAATGTAAACACTAACCTATCAAGAAAAAATAAAGTATCAATTAACATATTGCCCAGGAGCATAAACGCGTTCGGACTCGTGCAAATAGCCCACTTGTAACCTATCCCAATATACTTTAAGTTTTCCAATCTAAGAGCACATTAACCAAATTAGCTAGTTAGTCATTCACGCCATCTGACAATGATAAATCTGTCGTATGGATTCTAAGTGCTAAATATACTTCGTCAGGCAACGGGATATTGTGTTTTCAAAAAACATGTATGGTACTTCACATGATTGCATTACATGTGTGTCACACCGAGATTACAGGGTCAGTCACAATCAATGTAGGACTTGGTGCAAATTTGTACTCCTCCAATGTGTCTTACTGAATTACAACAACAAGATGAATAATACCGAGACAAAGAATTCTTAGGATATATTTTACCGTAATCAAAACCGATTAAAAGAAATTCACGCTGAATTTCATAATACCTAAACACTGAACGAATTGACAAGTTAATTACTATTGATATTAATAGTAATAAAATTTAGATAATAAAGAGATTAATCAATGCAAATAAACGTAAAAATATTATATCAAAAGAACATTGGTGATTATCACAACATCGAAATTGTCTGGTAGGAATGCATATTACACGGAACATGAATTAAAAAGTAATATCAAATCAAAATAAATGCAAGACATAGACTTTAGTGAAATAAACAGTTTATATATATATGAGGAAATTCACAAATAAAACTGATTGGTCGTATTACTTCTTAAATGCTTATTTAAATGAGTAAAGAGTTCAATAAAATACTAGACAATGATGAAAACTTAAAAAAACAAATTAAATATAGATGCAATGTATCATAATATATTTCTTAAGATCAATGATGAGTTAAAGGACTAAATCATTGAATAAAGCTTTTTCTTCATCTATTGTACCTGTTATAGTTTTATTCACTTGGTCATAAGTCGTATTTTTCTTTAATCGACGAGATGATTTTAATCTTGGCATGGATATTTTTGTTCGATCACCAAAAACAATTGCTTGCTCTGGTCTTGAACGATGCGATGACCATAAATGCAATTTTTGCCGACGTCTCCATTCAGCAATAAGTAGACCAATGAAACAACAAATTAAACCAAGACTAAATGCTAATAACAAAGCAGAAGTATGACCTTCAGATTGACTTTGCTTAACAGCAGCTATTATACTTTGTGATGAATCAGTTGTTGTAATGGGACTACTAGTACTAGTGAGAGTCGCCGGTCGATTTTCATCTGAAGACCAAAAAAAAGATATGTAATTGAGCAGGAAAACATCTAGATTCATCTATTATGTGTTCATGTAAGCGACTTTGAACCACACTTTGTGTGGAAGCTAATGGCACTACCGGACCGGTCGAACTGAAGTAAACAATAGCATAGAGATTTCATTCACATAGTTTCTATAAACCTAAAGTACAACTAGTGTGTCGTAGAAGTGGTATTACTTGAACCGAAGCACACTTTTAGAGAATTTCTTTAGAAACAATGATTATACTGAAACTAACATCACTGCTTTTATTAATCTTGACAGTATGGGACAGGATATTTCCTAGTCTTTTTGATCGAAAATCCTCAATACAAAAAATATTTCAACTACAAAAATCCCCACTTGTTTTTCAAATAATTAAAGAATCAAACAACGTTTTGTAATTGTTAGTATGGGGCTGTGAATTATGAGACTCCCAAACAGTGCTGCTCATCCACGACCTTGCAACCGAGAATCCCTATAACCCCATATTCACTATTATCATGTGTTCACCAGTGACCAGCTTCGAGAGGAAAACTTCAGAGTTTTAGTGCGAAGGGGCGGTTGGTGGTGTTCGACCGTGTTGGATGTAAGAAAGTCAACCACCGAAGACAATAGATAGTCGCGCAATATCGCGAAAAGACTCAAGTTAAACATGTACACCACTGGATTTCGGCTCAGTCGCAGGTCTAGAGATTAAGCGTCTGTGCACAAGACCGAAAATCCTGTATTTGATTTCGAGTCGTGAGTGCGCGTTACTGAGGAGTCTCATAGTACGATGAAATATCCATCTAGTGCTTCCAAGTTTTCAATATGTATTTAATTTAGATTAGTTCATGGTCTCGATAAAACGTCTTATAAGATGGGAAATAATCACAGGATATGATCGATTAAAAATTAGATGAAAAAGAAAAATATTTAAGCATATGCATATATCTGACACTTCTCAAATAGTGCGAAACAAGGAGTCTAAACTCGTACCTAGTTCGATAAAAGAATGAAGTGATCGAGATAGTTGCACAAGTTAGTTATAATGATCAATAAAACTTAACCAAGAAGGAGGGAGGATAGGTTGGTAGTTAAATGTCTAAATCATGTGTTATTTGAAATGAACATAGTTGCCTATTAATAAATACAACGTTGAATCGTCAAGGAAAGGAAATTGTTTGTAAAATGCTATCATAATTGTTTACATCGATAATCAATACGATTATGTAAGTGAAACTGGTTAGCAAAAAGAACTTTCGGGAGTTCAATACTTACCATCAACAAAATAAGGAAATAAGCATAAGATTATCTTATCAGATCTCATTGATGATATCCCTAATGTGTTTGTATTGTGGCCTCCAGTCGTTAAACCGATCATCTCATGACGATCAGTTTATGTATATCATTAAAAAAACATGAAAGTACGTACTGTTTTCTGATTTAGAAAACAAGGTTGAATACTTTAATACATATATATTGATTTTCAATGGTTGAGATCATAATTCAATTGAAGTTAGAACACCATGGAAAACCTGGAAGCACTGGACGACCGTATCGTCTTATTGTGGGACTCCTCAGCAGTGCACATCCACGATCCCGCTTCACTTGACTGGTGATCTCAACTATTGAAATGACTATAATGTCCACAAAAACCCCTTTTGATACATGTATGATGATTATTTGGACTGCAATTGACCAGTCTCTTTTATTATATATGAACCACGTGCGAATTCCACTGCTAGCCGCGATCCATATCTGCTTCAACACACAGTTCAGCTAACTCACTATGGTCAAATGCACGTTTATTCATCTTAGTTTGAGCCAAACTGTGAGTGCTTTAAAGTCAATATGTGGATTAATTTACTGAATAGATAAAGATCGTTCTCTAGTTTGGCTTTCTTGGTCATTAACTTTCTCATTCTTTATAAGATTAACTATTGCATCCATTTGTAACGTTGATTATAAACACTAATTTAGTAATCCTTATCAATTATGGATTTCGATCATTGCGTACAAAAGTCAACCGCGATCAGATAACTCAACAAGTTCAACCTCGAAAATATTATTTTGAGCTAAAAATTGTCGATAATTCTTACAACCAGTTATCAGCAATTCTATTCCTTTAGTTGTGTCATGCTGTAACATGCGCTTTTATTCTTTCCTATTCTAAACAGCGCGCAGGCGCAAACGAACGTTCAAATGCAGGTGTTCGCCAGCCATATATCCGCGTCTTAGGTTTAACCGTTGATACAGAAGGCCCTGGGCGTAGTGCGTTCGTATCTGGTGCCGGTGAAGGAACAGGTGCAGCTGCAACTTTAACAGAGAACGAAGAAGAAGAATTAGTAGCTTTGGCTAACTCACCGGATATCTACGAAAGATTAGCTCGAAGTATCGCTCCGTCTATCTATGGTAGCACTGATATTAAAAAAGCAATTGCATGTCTTCTGTTTGGTGGATCACGTAAACGGTAACTAGAGTATTTTCATAACCTTATATACGTATAATATATTCATTAGATATTACCGTTTAAAAATTACACACCACTTATTTATTTTATTGAAATCATGATCCGATCAATGTTAGACCAATCGGAGCCTGGAAATCCCGGACGATCATTCCGTACTAGTGTGAGACTCTGGCACATTCACAACTCCTCATACGGGGATCAAACTCGGGACTGTCGGTCCCGCGCGCGAACGCTTAACCTGAATACCATTAGGCCGCCATACAGTGATGTTAATGTCTATCTTCAGTCAATCCACGATACTATGCGACCATCATCAATTGTCTTGTACATTCAGGTTTTTAATCATAGTTTTGTGTTAATTGAGCCGACCGTTGCTTCTACCTTGACGTGGTGATCGGGCTTCCCCATCGTGATGAACCATTTAGACTATACTGGCCGTAACAATCGTTCCACGAGGAGCTACCATGTCAGGCAGGTCAGGTGAAGTAACAAATCTAAGGTTCGAGTGTGAAGTCTTACTACTGACAGTACAGAGTTTTGATGGCAGTAAGGTTTTTCCCTCAGACAACCAGCACAAAAGCGATTTTGCCTTACCACAAATAAAGAGTTGGGTTTGAATAGGTCGTCCCAAAAAATGTATGCCTCGCCTTATCCCACGGATATCCGACGGTAAGATCTCAACAAGTACAGAGCTAACAACAATTACTCACGGAAAGGTCGTGTGTGACGAGTCGCAAACAGTTGTCCCTTGGGTACTGCACTCACACTTAAGCAACTTCGAAAAAGAGACTGACCCAGATGTTGCTTGGGAAGATATACGAACATCTGTGAAAACAGCAGTGACATTTATTAGCGATTTGAACTAAAGGGTTAGGAAAAACCGATGGATTTCTGCAACATCTATTGCACTGATAGACTTTCGTAAACTTAGCCCATCAGGCTCCGAACTTGATGAACAGCGAAAACGAATCAGGTGTAGGCTAACTGAAATTCTACGAAACAATCGTGAATAGTGGTGAACAACGAAAGCGAAAGAGGTGGAAAAGGTAGTGGTTGTAGGTAACACAGACAGCTTTACAGACTGATAAAAGAAACTGTAACAAGAAGTCAAGTGTGAGACAATTTCGGAAAAAGACGGAACTCTTATTTTCTCCCAATCTAAACGTTTGGAACGATGAGCTGAACACTTTAAGGAACAGTCCAACTGACCTTCAGCTACTCTACAACTACCCAACATTCCCAAATAGCCTGAATGTAATATTGAAATAGGCCCCTTCCTTGACTCTAATTGAAGTTCTAATTGAAGCCATAGTTAATCTGGAACGAGAAAGAGCAGCTGGTCCAGATGGATTGACTCCAGAGGTCTTTAAGGATGGTGGTCCAGTTTTTTAGCTGAGATTTGTGAACTGAATGTCATCCCATGTGACTGGTCTCGCTCACTGATCGTCCCAATATATAAGAAATGATCAAAATCATCCTGTGATAACCATATAAAGATTACTTTGACTAACATAGCATCTAAAATACTAGTCTCAATAATTATCGAGCGCCTAATTAAGACTTGTGAACTGCAAATATGAGGAAACCAGACTGGCTTCAGACCTGGTCGTGACTGTATTGGCCACATATTCGCCATTCGTTAGGTCTTAGAACAGTGGCATGCGTCCGACAATAGTGCTCTTTCTTGACATAAAAGCAGCATTTGACTCTGTAGACTGAGAGGTTCTGTGGTAGTGTTTGTCATTGAGAGGCGTACCTCAGAAGTACATAAACCCTTTGAGGGCTCTTTACTTGAGTAACACCAATCGAGTCAGGACTTATGGTGAATTGTCATCTGCTTTCGCAACCTCAATTGGTGACCATCAAGGCTGTTTACTATCTTCATTTTCGTTTAATTTCATCATATAACTAATGGTGGGAATAACGTTCTCATTGTCGGGATTTTGGGTAATTGATCTACCAAGAGGTCAACTTATCGACTTAGAATACGCAGATGACATAGTCCTGTTTGGTGAAGATGCCGATAAAATGCAGAGTTTTTTGATAGCACTGAGAAACAATGCCAGGATGTTTGGGATACGCTTCTCTCTATCCAAATACAAGTTGTTGCCTAAAGACTGGCCTGTGTCAACACCTGAACTGATGATAGGGAGTGAAGTAGCCGAACCCATTGACAACTTCACTTATCTTGGAAGTCTGATCAGCTCTAATGGGTTGGTGTCTGATGAAATCTCACCACGGATTCGAAAAGCTCGTTTGGCTTTTACCAACTTACGTCACCTATGACGAATGCGAGGTATCCGTCTATCAATTAAAGGACGAGTATTCTGCGTAGCAGTTCGTTCTGTTTTACTTTACGACTGCGAGATGTGGCCATTAAGAGTAGGGGATGCTCGTAAGTTACTAGTATTCGATCACAGATGTCTTAGAAATATTGCTGGTGTCTGCTGGGATCGCCGGGTATGTAATGGTGAGGTTAGACGCAAGGTATTATGGAATGATGGTAAATCAGTTGATGAGGTTGTGAATCTTTATCGGCTGTGATGGATGGGCCACGTATTATGCATGCTCAACCACTGACTACCACGCGCGCTGAGATGTTTGGGTCCACGTGTTACGTATGCCTGAACATCGATTACCACGATGTGCAATGCTGACTAGTGTTGGAGACGAATGAAAGTTAGGGGCGGCTAAACCAAAACATAGTATCAGTCAATAAAGTCACTCACTTCCGGTCTGAGCCATTTTGGTAGATGCAGACTACTTTTTTAGGGTTCACGCGGCCATCGTAACTAGTGGTTGGAGACTCTGGATAGCATGGCTCGGAATCGATCACATTGGATTAGGTGTGTACACTCTTCATCTTTAAACCGTGCGATTAAAATTACTTTATACCTTTCTTTCTACGAACTAATTTTTTCTCCCTGTATCATATCCTTATATGAAATGTTCCTTTTACTACCGTTTAAGTAAATACTACTATGAATTTGGTATTCATCTTGTGCTAATGAGGTGTGGCAACTTGGACCGATGCTTATATTTGCCTGGCCTAATGCTGTAAATGATTGACTGACTACATTGATCGGTTCATAGTTTCAGTGAAACTCAAGAATATGCAGATCCTTATAATTTTTTATTTATTCGTAAATGCTTTTGATTAACTTGGGAACGTCTGTTCTATCAGTTTTTAGACAAAATATACTCATTTCATTTAATCATATCCGCACTTTGTTACGTAAATGGTTAATACTGTGTTCCCATTCAAATAAAAATAGAAAATAAGCTGTTCTTTGTTGGAAGGTAGTTCATAATTACACAAACCTTCAGATATGAATAATCTAAATTCTATTTGTTACAGAAAAAACAGTACTGATGTAGTTAACCTAACTGTTCATCTAGATACATGAACTCTTTATCCTTAATGTAGTGGAACTAGAAGTTCTTCCATAGGTAATCCTGTGTATACCACCTGATAAATCCATTTTAAATAACTCAAAAGTATACTTAATCCTAGAAAAAACAAAACTTGATCATCAATGTTTATATTAGGAAACCATTTAATAGAAGTGTCAATATGAACCACAGATAACTGTGTTCAGCTATTGTGAATCAGTAATTCTTTTTCCTAATTACTTGTGTTTATTACTGTCTTAATAAGTAAGAGAACAAAAATTGTTTGGCAGTATTAAATCAATATACTGACATCAAGTCTATGTAGTATTTAGAGTTTATGAATCTCCTTAATAATGCCTTTTTTAAAAGTAATTTTTGCACAGATTTGTTGTTTCCAACTTTCATAATTTTCTATTTTATCCAGGCTTCCTGATGGACTTATGCGTCGTGGTGATATAAATATGCTAATGTTAGGTGATCCTGGGACAGCTAAGTCTCAACTTTTAAAATTTGTAGAGAGATGTTCACCCGTTGGCATATATACCTCAGGTAAAGGTAGTTCGGCTGCTGGTTTGACGGCTTCTGTTACTCGAGATCCAAACACTGTAAGCTAGATTTTGTTGAGTAACCTCATGGCTTTCCTTATAAACTAATTTTGTACACGATAAAATTGTACATATTTCTTATGATAATATTATCAAAACACCACAACTTCTAGTTAGCTAGCTTTCAACTAAAAATTTACCAGTCAACTTTTTTTCGCGAGCGAAATAATTTTATTTCATTAACTGTGAATTGTAAAAATCAACAGTAAAATACAAACAGGTTATTACGTGCTGTCTTCAAGTTGTTCAGTTTATTTTACTCAAGTTGATAAAGCCAAATTACTTTCAAAGGAAAGCTGCTTATTTTAAGGAAACTATCGAAAACAGAGCCAATAAATTTCTGCAAACTTGTGTAAATTTTTGTAAATCCGACACACATTTGATTCAAATCTTTATATATTCATGACTGTAGACTGGTACCTATAAGTACAGATATTTATTTCACTTGGCATATTTACCTTGACTACTACCTACTCATCATAGAGCGTATCACTTCAAGTTGTTCTTTAATAGTCGGTTTTTATCGATTAAAAGAATTATAATTAAATACATGTACATAAGGTCTATATTTATTCACTGCTGATCTACATTCAGATGTCTGAATTAAAATAGTCAGCGATTGTCTATTCTATAATTTACGTCAAATATTAATCTTAGCTAAACAACCATTGGGAACTAAGAGGCATTAGACAGTTGTTTCGTCCTGTCAGGTGGCTCTTCAACAATTGGTTTCTGTGATCCCATCGAATTTCGAAGCCAGGACCTGCAGTTTTAGGGGCAAGTGTTTAATCTCTTTGGACCGCTGAATCCACATCCAATGATTTATATCTCTAACTTCTATTCTTGATATCCATTCTATTTTCAGCGTAATTTCATAATGGAAGGTGGTGCTATGGTACTTGCTGATGGGGGTGTTGTTTGTATTGATGAGTTTGACAAAATGCGTGAAGATGATCGTGTTGCAATTCATGAAGCCATGGAACAACAAACTATTTCAATAGCTAAAGTAAGTTATGTTATTAACATTAGCCTATTCAACTGAAATCGAGTTTGAATCAAATTTTTTCGAATCGCTTGACATCTCAAAACGTTGTTGCCAAGTTCTTATTTATAAGTGATTGTTTCCTATTTCAAATTAAATTGGTTTTAGGAAGATTTTTAAGCTGACTCAAACTGTACTTTTTAAGTATAAATAATGTTGTTATTTTTTTTACCTAGTCTTACTTTTTTGACGTTTATTATGATCCTTCTCTGTTGATAGCACATATCAGGTTACGAATGGTCAAAAACGTCAGGTCTTCTTTAATTCGATTAGCTGTATAATGAGTGGTTATTCGAAACAATCCATAAATATTTCAGATGAATCTTCTTAAAAAACAAATTTCGTATTTAATGAAACTAAGTGCCTAAAAATATGAATTTTATAATATTGAGTTGATAGGGGGAAATCTTCATTCACTTTGTGTTTAGAAAACAGTAAAGAGTTCATTCCGATTAGTTATTTAGAATGACAGATTTTTGGAATTTTCATAAACTTCTCCTTGATCAATAAAATTGTATGCAACTCCAGACTATCTGCCTTTGTTTACAGATATCTCAGTTATAATAAAGCACTTGATTCTCTGTTCTCACTTCTGGACGGATATTCTCTTAATAATTAAAAAGACTGAACATTTGACCACTCATTCATATTTATTTCATCAAGTCGAAGTACTCTTACATATAAAGCGTTCTAAACTTCGTATATTGGTCAAACTCGGACCCATATGCACTTTTCGGAGAGATTAAATCCATCTTAATTTTATTCGCACTTGAATTATCTCTTTTGACATACATTTTCTAAAGCCCTCTTTTTATTACCTTACAATATTGTCATTTCGCTTCCATGTTCGTGTCCAAATCTTAGTTTTACCAGATTTTTGTGTTCTAAAAAAATCAACCGTTTTACTTCTAGCCACTTGTTTATTCTCCAACTTTTATAGGCTGGCATTACGACAACATTGAACAGTCGTTGTTCCGTACTTGCAGCAGCCAACAGTGTTTATGGTCGTTGGGATGATACGAAAGGTGAAGATAATATTGATTTTATGCCAACAATCTTGTCACGTTTCGATATGATTTTTGTAATACGTGATGAGCATGATTCTCAACGTGATACAACTCTCGCAAAGCATGTTATGCAAGTACATCTACACGGGAAGTAAGTCAGCATAACTTACGTATTTATTCATTTTTGTATTGTACCAGCTGGCGAGTCCCAAATAAGACGAAACGCGCGTCCTGGATTCCACTACTATCCACTTTTGCTTACGTATTTATGTTTTCATATATAAAATCTTGTGGTGTTTGTTATAATATTCTCATGAATATTAAGGCTAAATGAAATTGACATATGGAAACCTCAGAACTAGAATCCAATGAATCATTTATTTGAAATAAAATTTAAAAGCTGAACACTATAGTGCGTTTCGTACACCACCAACAGCGTGGTTTTTATTATTCATAAATCCAAGTTAAAATAAAATAACATTTTGTTGTTGCTCCTTATATGAGAAGGTCGGTCAAGTGTATGACAGTTGTTCAGGGTAGAGGCCAGTAAAATTAGTAACATCAATAGGCTGGACCAATCACACATATCATTTCAAAGCCGAATGACGTGAAATACTGACAGATGCATTCTACTATTCAAGATTTAGCTTTCTTTTACCAAGGAAATAGTATACCCTACTGGTTGGAAAATCTTGTTCAATTTTACATGGTATACATATCTACATTAATGATTGAGTTTGTGCATATATTTGATTCCGGTTCGCCAAAAAAGCTTCGTACTTTTAGGTTTTATTAATCAAGTAATAGACCGATCTCAAGTATAGGAAGTGTGGATTTTAGTATCAGACTCGTATGACCACTTAAATCAATAAAAATAAGCAAGTTACGCCATACATAAACTATCAGAACAAAACTCTTCAGAATCAGTTTGTCAAAAATCATTATCTAGATCACAATAGTGAATGGGTTAGAAAAATCAATCATATTGCGGTTCTTAAGTGCATTTGGAAATAGAAAATTGTGTTATTAACTGAATAACTTATAAATATTAGGCTATTTATTAAATACGAATGATTAGGTGAAATGTGATAAAACTTCCAACTGAACGTATAAAAACGTAAACACAGTAAATAGGATCAGTTGGTAATTGTACATAGAACATCAAATATAATTACTCCTGCATCTAATAACATTAAAAGTTAGCGTTTATCACTCATCTTAAATTGTTAGTTTTTCTGTCGCATAATATGATGAGTTAGTCGTTAACAGAATCTTGACACAAATAAAAATAGCATTACATGTAGTCCGTACGTCTCTCCATCAGATTATAATTGTTCTTAGAGTAAATTATAGGTTTCTGACCATATCTCTACTCCAGCATAGTTCATGTGTGTTGAAACTACTAAGGTAAAGACCAATCTGCTCTTTGTCTACACCCTTTAAAACTTGTTCATTCATCTCCCTGCATTTACTAATATATAATTTTTGGAATATTCTGATAGCAGTAGATTTGAAATTGTTATAACTCAAGTGTGATTAATGGTCTGTTATTCAACTTCATCTATTACAGTGATCCTGTTGGAATAAATGCAATGGATACCGGGTCATCGGATGAAATTCCACTTAGTACTCTCCGACGTTTTATTGCCTTCGCACGTGAGCGCTGTGGTCCTCGTTTATCTGAACAGGCTGCTGAAAAATTATCGAATCAGTATGTCCTCATGAGATCTGGTTCTACACGGTACGAACAGGAAACGGGTAAACGATGTGCCATCCCTATAACAGTACGGTGAGTATTCAGGTGTCTAATTCAGACCATATAATTATGTTAGTCCTAATTGCGTTAAACGGTATTCCGAATATTTTACCGCACAATTGTTTCAATGAACGATAATGTTGTGAATTAAGTTGTAGAAGCTATAGGAAGTCTGAAGCGTGAGAGAGCAGCAGGCCCTGACAAGTTTGCCCCTGAGATTTTTAAGGATGATGGTCCAGTATTAGCAGTGAGATTGACTGAAGTCTTAGGTAGAATCTGGGAACTGGACGTAATCCCATCGGGCTGGTCTCAACCACTGATTCTGCCAGTCTATAAGAAAGGACAAAATTCCTCTTGTGACAACCACAGGAGAATCAGTTTGACTAATATAATGTCTAGAATATTAGCTTAAATAATACTTCAACACCTAACTAAAGCTCGTGAAGAGCAGACTTGAGAGAACCAGGCTGGTTTTCGACCTGGACGTGGTTGTATAGACCAGATACTCACACTACATCAGGTCATAGAACATAGACACACATTCGTAGTATTTCTCGACCTTAAGGCGGCATTTGACTCTGTTGATCGTGAGATCCTATGGCAGAGTTTGTCACTGAAAGGAGTACCAAAGAAGTACATTAACCTTGTAAATGCTCTCTACTCCAACACAACCGGTCAAGTGAGAGCTTATGGCGAACTGTCATCAGAATTGATTACCTCAAGTGGTGTTCGTCAGGGCTGTCCACTCTCTCCATTCTTGTTTAACTTTATCGTAGACGTGCTTTTAGAGATGGCACTTTCCTCATCTAAATTTCCAGGGGTTGAACTTCTACCGCGAGATTCACTTTTTGACTTAGAATATGCCGATGACATAGTTCTATTTGGTGAAGACGCTGACAAAATGCAGTCTTCTGACTACTCTAAGCAACAATGGAAGCATGTTCGAGATACGATTCTCCCCCTCGAAATCCAAAATGTTGCATCAGGATTGAGTTGCATCGACACCCGAACTAATGATAGGGAGTGAAGTAGTTGGGTGTATCGACCGCTTCACTCATATTGGAAGTCTCATTAGCCCTTGTGGTCTGGTGTGGACGAAATCTCAGCACGGATACAAAAGGTTCGAATAGCTCTTGCCAACTTGCGTCATTTATGGCGTAGGCGAGATATCCGTCTATCAACCAAAGGACGTGTTTGCTGCGCAGCAGTTCGTTCCGTCCTACTTTATGACAGTGAAACATGGCGGTAAGAGTAGAGGATATTGGTAGGCTACTAATATCCGACCATAGGTGTCTTAGAGGCATCACTGGTATATCCTGAGAGCACCGAGTAAGTAATGCAGTTGTTAGAAAACGGGTACTAGGCAATGATGGAAAATCGATTGATGATTACTGCTTATAATCTTACTACCTCTACCACTACTGGATTTGAATCAACAACTGTATCTCTGCGCTAATGTGGTATGGCAACTCGAACTGATGTACGTACGTACGAAGTTCCACGTCGTTACTGACTGAAGTTATAACCACTTTGGTTCAAATGTTACATCCATTTCTTTTAATTAACCTTAATGCATTTACCCTACATATGGTCAATAATTTATCTTTTTACAGCCAACTTGAAGCAATTATACGAATTTCTGAGTCATTAGCAAAAATGCGTTTAGCCGCTTTTGCAACTGAAACAGATGTTGAGGAAGCATTACGTCTATTTCATGTTTCAACATTGGAAGCCGCTATGTCTGGAAGCTTAGAAGGTGCGGAAGGTTTTACCACACAAGAGGAACATGAACTTATTCTGCGTTTAGAAAAGCAGTTGAAAAAGCGATTTGTTATTGGCAGTCAAGTATCAGAATATGCTATCATACAAGACTTTACACGTCAAGTATGTAATATTCCAGTGTTTCATTATTTTAGTTCATATCATCAAAATAATTTGTTTTAATGTAAATGCTGAAAAATTCCCATTATATTAAAAACACAATTGTATGAACGAAGAATATTCTTTTCAATAATTTCTCATCAGGTTCTACAATTATAAATCCAGATTAATAATCCATAAAATTGGCCAGATTTAAGGCAAAATACATCATTTGGAAATTCTAATATATGAATCAGGAATTGTTTGTTATATAAAATAAAATCGTTAATGTTGGGACGACTATTATGAAGTGTTAACTTGAATCAGTTTATAAGTGAAATAAAATTGTGAGATAAGTTATCAGAATAAACATGGTCAACATGGGGTAAGAGAGAGGGGGAGAGAGAATATTGTGATTACAAATCGGAAATTGCGTAATATGTAAAATAATTAGGTCAAATATAGTAGATTCAGGGGTGGATATTGAATAAATTCCTCAAAAAGGGGTTATCAAGTGTAAAGACAATAATAATAATAATAAGTTTGGGACATAAAATGAACAGTAATCAGATTACGTCACCACATTTTAAGATTGATTAATAGCTAGTTGGCCAGGGTAAAAGGAGTGGTTGAACATACTTTTTTGGATACAAAGCTCTGGCTTTTTGATCCGAATAGCAATTGCTTCAGCCGTCTGTAGGATTCGCAGTCTGATGGAATTAGGTAGACTGCTGTTGACACGATAAACTATTGCAAAAGATTGCTCCATGTTGGCTGTATGTCCTGTTTGAACTAAATGGTCTAAGATGGAGCTGTTAACAGTTTTGACAACACCTTTGCTTAACCACACGGGTAGGTGCTCACGAGCCCGAATGCACCCTGGCCACTTGATAACCCCTTTTTGAGGAATTTATTCAATATCCACCCCTGAATCTACTATATTTGACCTAATTATTTTACATATTACGCAATTTCCGATTTGTAATCACAATATTCTCTCTCCCCCTCTCTCTTACCCCATGTTGACCATGTTTATTCTGATAACTTATCTCACAATTTTATTTCACTTATAAACTGATTTAAGTTAACACTTCATAATAGTCGTCCCAACATTAACGATTTTATTTTATATAACAAACAATTCCTGATTTACATATTACAATTTCCAAATGATGATGTATTTTGCCTTAAATCTGGCCAATTTTATGGATTATTAATCTGGATTTATAATTGTAGAACCTGATGAGAAATTATTGAAAAGAATATTCTTCGTTCATACAATTGTGTTTTTAATGTAAATGTTTCTCAATCCTATAAAAGTTAAATGGATTATGTTAGTTTTCGATTACAATCTTGATATCCATTGTCATTCATAATATTTAGGATCTACAGATTTTCCTTCAAATTTCCTCTAGTCAGTTTAGTAGTTTCCCAAAGATCGACGACTTTTTTTACCATTATCCCCAAAAAGAAGAAGAGAAAAAACATCGATCATTTGACATTACTGTCACCTACCTTTACTTACAGTATATAGAGCTCTAGCCGTGGATTCTAAGGATTGTGAGGAATACTTAGCGATATTATCAACACATTTAATATCCAGGTTTTGGAATTTGTACAACCAAGTTCAACTTACAAAATGTCAAATGAAGTCTGATCGACTGACTGACGAAATTCGTTCTCATTTCCACTTGTTATTAAATTATTCCTGTTTATGTTATTTAAACTTTGAGTTCGCACCAGGTTTTCTATTGTACAATTTACATTACATGTCAAACTTACTAACTTTTTTTATTATTCGTGTGATTTGCAGGGTTTTTCAGAACGCGCTGTGACCAAGGTTTTACACTACATGATTCGTCGAGGTGAAGTACAGTATAGGATGCAAAGGCGTATTTTGTACCGAATTAAATAGAGATATCCAACTTTATTACATTATACTTGTATTGTTTAATCTTTTCACCGGAGAATTTGTTTTATATAAAGATTATCTTGTAACTTTTTCCAAACATCAGTACACTGCATTTATGTATTTTAAATAAAATTGTCTGTTACAGTAATGTATAGCGTCAAACAAATTTAGTTCTGATATCAAAGGGAATTTACTGAATTTTATTTGTTGACACTAGAACAGTGCATGGTGTAGTTCATTCAATTTAATTGATTATAAGATATTTGACGCATGATTGGTAAGAAAAGACCAGGTTAAGTAGTAGATTTCGTATGGTTAATCAGATGATAGAGAGCTTAGATTACATCGATTGATCATCACCTATGTAGAAAGATATTAATTGTCCTAATCTAAGGTGTGGAAATTTGATTTAATCGCCAAAAGACATCTTGTAGTATTATTAATTGTTGTATTTGATATATCTTATCAATTGATAAACATGAAGATCAGATGGAACTGTATAGAATGATGTAATTTGAGATTCTGGTGAGAGTTAGTTGTTAGCATATCCTAGATATTACAGAAATCGGTCAGTGTTTCGTACACCACAAATGGGTGTACAATGGATAAAAATATTAGCGAAAAAGTACATGTGCCTACTTTTTCTCTCGCATTTGACCACTAGATCATGTCAGAAGCTTGATTCATGTTCTAAGAGCGACTAACCAACATTGTTTACCGAGAAGTTTCTTTTTGTCGATTAACGGAGGTAGGCTACTATCCATTAAGTTAAATAATTGTAAGCAAATGGCAACGACTCGATAAAATGAGTGCGTGCTAGGTACCTTAAAGTGTTATCGCTAATGTAAACACTAACCTATCAAGAAAAAATAAAGTATCAATTAACATATTGCCCAGGAGCATAAACGCGTTCGGACTCGTGCAAATAGCCCACTTGTAACCTATCCCAATATACTTTAAGTTTTCCAATCTAAGAGCACATTAACCAAATTAGCTAGTTAGTCATTCACGCCATCTGACAATGATAAATCTGTCGTATGGATTCTAAGTGCTAAATATACTTCGTCAGGCAACGGGATATTGTGTTTTCAAAAAACATGTATGGTACTTCACATGATTGCATTACATGTGTGTCACACCGAGATTACAGGGTCAGTCACAATCAATGTAGGACTTGGTGCAAATTTGTACTCCTCCAATGTGTCTTACTGAATTACAACAACAAGATGAATAATACCGAGACAAAGAATTCTTAGGATATATTTTACCGTAATCAAAACCGATTAAAAGAAATTCACGCTGAATTTCATAATACCTAAACACTGAACGAATTGACAAGTTAATTACTATTGATATTAATAGTAATAAAATTTAGATAATAAAGAGATTAATCAATGCAAATAAACGTAAAAATATTATATCAAAAGAACATTGGTGATTATCACAACATCGAAATTGTCTGGTAGGAATGCATATTACACGGAACATGAATTAAAAAGTAATATCAAATCAAAATAAATGCAAGACATAGACTTTAGTGAAATAAACAGTTTATATATATATGAGGAAATTCACAAATAAAACTGATTGGTCGTATTACTTCTTAAATGCTTATTTAAATGAGTAAAGAGTTCAATAAAATACTAGACAATGATGAAAACTTAAAAAAACAAATTAAATATAGATGCAATGTATCATAATATATTTCTTAAGATCAATGATGAGTTAAAGGACTAAATCATTGAATAAAGCTTTTTCTTCATCTATTGTACCTGTTATAGTTTTATTCACTTGGTCATAAGTCGTATTTTTCTTTAATCGACGAGATGATTTTAATCTTGGCATGGATATTTTTGTTCGATCACCAAAAACAATTGCTTGCTCTGGTCTTGAACGATGCGATGACCATAAATTCAATTTTTGCCGACGTCTCCATTCAGCAATAAGTAGACCAATGAAACAACAAATTAAACCAAGACTAAATGCTAATAACAAAGCAGAAGTATGACCTTCAGATTGACTTTGCTTAACAGCAGCTATTATACTTTGTGATGAATCAGTTGTTGTAATGGGACTACTAGTACTAGTGAGAGTCGCCGGTCGATTTTCATCTGAAGACCAAAAAAAAGATATGTAATTGAGCAGGAAAACATCTAGATTCATCTATTATGTGTTCATGTAAGCGACTTTGAACCACACTTTGTGTGGAAGCTAATGGCACTACCGGACCGGTCGAACTGAAGTAAACAATAGCATAGAGATTTCATTCACATAGTTTCTATAAACCTAAAGTACAACTAGTGTGTCGTAGAAGTGGTATTACTTGAACCGAAGCACTCTTTTAGAGAATTTCTTTAGAAACAATGATTATACTGAAACTAACATCACTGCTTTTATTAATCTTGACAGTATGGGACAGGATATTTCCTAGTCTTTTTGATCAAAAATCCTCAATACAAAAAATATTTCAACTACAAAAATCCCCACTTGTTTTTCAAATAATTAAAGAATCAAACAACGTTTTGTAATTGTTAGTATGGGGCTGTGAATTATGAGACTCCCAAACAGTGCTGTTCATCCACGACCTTGCAACCGAGAATCCCTATAACCCCATATTCACTATTATCATGTGTTCACCAGTGACCAGCTTCGAGAGGAAAACTTCAGAGTTTTAGTGCGAAGGGGCGGTTGGTGGTGTTCGACCGTGTTGGATGTAAGAAAGTCAACCACCGAAGACAATAGATAGTCGCGCAATATCGCGAAAAGACTCAAGTTAAACATGTACACCACTGGATTTCGGCTCAGTCGCAGGTCTAGAGATTAAGCGTCTGTGCACAAGACCGAAAATCCTGTATTTGATTTCGAGTCGTGAGTGCGCGTTACTGAGGAGTCTCATAGTACGATGAAATATCCATCTAGTGCTTCCAAGTTTTCAATATGTATTTAATTTAGATTAGTTCATGGTCTCGATAAAACGTCTTATAAGATGGGAAATAATCACAGGATATGATCGATTAAAAATTAGATGAAAAAGAAAAATATTTAAGCATATGCATATATCTGACACTTCTCAAATAGTGCGAAACAAGGAGTCTAAACTCGTACCTAGTTCGATAAAAGAATGAAGTGATCGAGATAGTTGCACAAGTTAGTTATAATGATCAATAAAACTTAACCAAGAAGGAGGGAGGATAGGTTGGTAGTTAAATGTCTAAATCATGTGTTATTTGAAATGAACATAGTTGCCTATTAATAAATACAACGTTGAATCGTCAAGGAAAGGAAATTGTTTGTAAAATGCTATCATAATTGTTTACATCGATAATCAATACGATTATGTAAGTGAAACTGGTTAGCAAAAAGAACTTTCGGGAGTTCAATACTTACCATCAACAAAATAAGGAAATAAGCATAAGATTATCTTATCAGATCTCATTGATGATATCCCTAATGTGTTTGTATTGTGGCCTCCAGTCGTTAAACCGATCATCTCATGACGATCAGTTTATGTATATCATTAAAAAAACATGAAAGTACGTACTGTTTTCTGATTTAGAAAACAAGGTTGAATACTTTAATACATATATATTGATTTTCAATGGTTGAGATCATAATTCAATTGAAGTTAGAACACCATGGAAAACCTGGAAGCACTGGACGACCGTATCGTCTTATTGTGGGACTCCTCAGCAGTGCACATCCACGATCCCGCTTCACTTGACTGGTGATCTCAACTATTGAAATGACTATAATGTCCACAAAAACCCCTTTTGATACATGTATGATGATTATTTGGACTGCAATTGACCAGTCTCTTTTATTATATATGAACCACGTGCGAATTCCACTGCTAGCCGCGATCCATATCTGCTTCAACACACAGTTCAGCTAACTCACTATGGTCAAATGCACGTTTATTCATCTTAGTTTGAGCCAAACTGTGAGTGCTTGAAAGTTGGTGATGGTATCCGGTTGTTTGAAGTGGAGAGAAATTCAAACATGTAACTCAATGTTTGAGAGACGATTGCTATAACCACAAATTCACCAACCCACTCTATACACATAGTGTACTGATGAGTAATTAGCCAGCAAAAGATGATTATAATAGATGAATAGTTAATGGAATTGATATGTATTCATAGCATGTCGAATTTTGTGTTCTGTGGTAGTACTTAGTTACGACATACACTTCCAAACGTATTATACAAATGAGAATAAAATAAGTAGGAAAGTTTAATTATCGAAATGAACCATAAACTATAGGTGCATACATACAATTGTCCTTCTAACCTAGACAAAGAGCATGTAGGCTGTCTTGAGTAGATGCATAATCAACTTCCTTCAATCCCTCGTTTATAATTGTTCGGCTACTGTTTGACTATGGGATGACATAAGAATAAATGCATATAATATTATCTACACTCGCCCAGCTATATTTAAACGTTAACAAGATTAAATTATTTATACTTTGAGACTACGTATGAAATTAATGGACTGAACATAATAAATATAGAAATTAGTAATGTATAAATGAACTCACTTTTATCTATACTAGATGCCTTTTGATTAATGTCTTCAAATTCATTCCTATGATGAATGTGTTTAGGCTCTATAAATGTCCAAGTAGAAAAATTTAAATAATCATTATTAGCAAATTAGTGGACAGTATGAGAGTTGCTGAAATATAATGAATAAAAAATGTTCAAGATAACGAGGATGATATTTTTGGATGATCCTCAATAATTAAAGAATATCTTACATTATCCTAAACACAACTTTGACATGAAATATGACTAATACCTTGGATAAGAAACAGATGATAAATCACATTCGTTGAACAGCTTCCGCTCAAGGTTCTCGTAGAACGGAGCTGACCACATAGTAGTGTTGTACATCTGACTCTATACAGTAAAACTATTATCACAACGACTCCATAGGTAGCTAACGTTGACTCATAATACCCTAGTTTTCGATAAAGAGACTGATCTCATTTGTTATAATATTACAAAATCCTATACAAATATTGAAATCCACGAAAATAACAACTAGTAATCATACTAAGTTTATTTATCGCAAAATTAAATTGCCTACCAAAATTTTCATGAGCCCAAGTTGATTTTTAGCATCCAATGCAATCCGATTTATCACAATGTTTCTTAGTTATCTAGTAAATTAAGCTGATACTTATCACGCTTATATAGATACAGATCGATCTTAACTATGTTTATTCATCATATATTTTGTAACTCTATTCTTCTGACTAGTATGATTTTGATTACATTTCGAACATTTATCTAAACTTTACAAACTAAAGTATGCTAAACATTTGTTAATAATTATATTTATATTAATAATTGTAATTTTAGGTTGTATGTAGATGATGCGAAACCATGAAATAGAATGATCAATTCATTTTATTCTACAAACCTTGTTGTTCTTCCTTTTTTTAGATTTGTCAAGGGATCTGGTTGTATAAGACATTTAAATTTAAAGCGTAGAATGTCATTTTTTTATAATGGTAAGTAGAATCAACATTCATGGCTAAACAATAATAAAAAAATACTATTAACGGACTATAAAGTTCTAAACTCTATTCAACAAATTTTTCGGTAAGGCAACACACATTTTCTACAGAGTTTGATAGCTTTGAACTTGATTTTAACAAGGATAAGGACTAGTGCGGTTTGTAAAGCTCGAATATCATTGAATACTAAGACAATATCATCTTTACGATTATGATTGTCGCATTTTTCATTACTGTTTGATCTATTTATATGCTTCACTTTCATTCATTTCTGTCCAACTATATTTATTTCAGATTCTTGAACAGATTATATTGATCCACATTTTAGAAACACATAAGGTATTTAAGACTTTATTATTATTATTACTACTATTATTATTATTATTATTATTATTATTATTATTATTATTATTATTATTATTATTATTATTAATGGCTTTATTCAATATTATAGTTTTGGTACAATACAGAATTCTCAGCACAGGTTATTTCAACAAGTTACTTACGCAACAACAAAAAACAGTAACGAATACAAAAAGAGAATTTTTTTAAAAAGAAAAAAGAAAAAAAAACGAAAAACTGTACAAATTTTAGTATTAAGGACACGTTAAGAATGCAAGTTATTGACTAGGTTGACTCTAACAACCTGTTCGTCACAGAGTATATTTGCTAGGTAAGGTATTATGGAACTTTTATACTTTTGCTTGCGTGCATGGATTTTAATGTAATTACGTCTCGTTCTACCAGAATATATACAAGGAGAAAGATAAGAGTGAAGGGGACGGCTAGTATCTGATAAAATAACACCTGCCAGGAGTTTGCATGATTTTAAATGTCTACCCACAACCATATTAATTATGATCTCGAAAGATTCACCACACATCTTGCTAACTGCCTTCAGCACTCTCCGCAATACGGCAAAGCCTTTCCTCAAGAGCCCGGGAAAGAATAATGGATAACAGTAAAGAATAATAGGTAATATGCAAGAATTGACAAATTGTAAGAGTAAATGACGAGTAATCCCAAGATCATGCAATCTCTTTATGTAGTAGGTCAGACGGAAAACCTTCTTTGATAACAATAAAACGTGGGAAGACCAAGACAGATCAGAGGAAAAGGTGACACCAAAATAATTGACCTTCGACACTGTGTATATCAAAGAGTCTCCGATGGTACCAGCATTATGGGATCTCAAAATGGTGTTTAGATTCCGTTCATGTCTCATACTAAAGTTAACAGCTTGACATTTAGACTGATTAAGTATGAGACCATTACCAACAGACCAACAATCAATACGAGACAAAAACTCATTCATTTCTATGGGATGTAAAGAGGAAGAGGTAGGCACACATACAGTGAGATCATCCGCATACTTCAAAAAAGTGTTTTCTGTAGATGGCAGATCATGCAGAAAAAAGAGAAAAGAAGAGGTGAAAGAACAGCTCCTTGTGGTACACCTTCATCAGACAGCAGAGACTCTGAACACTTTCCTCCAAACACAGTGTACTGTTCCCTTCCAGAGAGGTAGGAACATAGCCAGTTGGTTATCCAGCTGTCAGTGTTGACGCTGATTAACTTGTTAATTAAACGTTGTCTTGGTATAGAATCAAAAGCTGAAGTATAGTCCAGAAAAGCACATCGAACATACTTCTGACCCTTTTCTAAGTTGAACACTACGTTGTGATGCAGAACAGCAACAGCATCTAAGGTGCTTCTTTTGCATCTGTAAGCAATCTGATACGGATCAATATGCTGTTTTATCGCAGGCTGAAGTGGAAGTATTAATAATTTTTCCATTGTTTTGAGGAAGGGTGAAGTTATTGCAATAGGTCTAAATTTTACATTTTTATCACCAAATGCTTTCTTGGGTACAGGAATTACCTTCATCTTTCTCCACATTTTCGGTATGAGATAAGATGAGAAGGATCTGTTAAATATAGTTGTGAACGGATGACACAGAACGTCAGCACATTTTTAAAAAGGATGTTTGGGATACCATCAGGTCCCAAACATCGAGATGAATTAAGCGACTGGAGACATCCTCGTACATCAGTTTCACTGAAAGTAGGAACACAGCTATTTTTTAAACCCGTGGATAGTGGGAGCATCACATCAGATGACTGACGTACAAAAGACTTATTTAAGTCACAAACATTCAGCTGGTTATCGTTTCTAAACTTTCTGTCACCTGTAGGTTCTTTAAAGAATTTCCACATACTTGGAGAGTTTTTGCAAGACAAGAGTTTTTGAGTAAACATACAGTTGAGACGTCTAATCTCCAGGATTATCAGACCATTTAGCTTACGAACTACTTCATTAGAGTTCTTCTCCTTGTACATTCTTTCTTTCATCCTCCGTAGTCGTTTTAGTTGTGTAGATGTAAGTCGATCAAAACTTACAAAAATGGTTTCAGTGGGACAGCAAATATCAAAACAGAATTTAAGATAACAAGTGATAACATCAGTAGTGTTTTCCAGTGAGTCGTCTGTAAATAATTCACAGTTAGTCGTATGAAACATGTTTTTCAGATTTCCGATATTTTCTTCTGAGTAATTCCTATATTTGACTTTCTTGGTTTGATGTAAGAGTGTACTCTTCCCATGCTTTCCATATACTGTAGGTAGAACACGAATTATACAGTGATCCGAGCTAGATAATGGGGCACGTTTACGAGTCGCATATATACCCACATCATTAATGAAAATGAAGTTTAAATGAGCATCCAAACGAGTAGGAAAATCTACTACGTTTTGGTGACCTAGTGACTTAAGGAAGCTACAGTCACATGAATCGAAATCACCACATACAATTGAAAGTGAATCACTGAAGGCAGTAACAGCGAACTCAGTGAATTCATCAGCGAAAACAGATAGTGCAGATGATGTGCAATCTGGAGTAACGTAGATATTGGTAACGTAAACATATTTGTATTTATTCAGATGTTTTGGACGACATCTTAGAGTTAGACAGTCGATAAAGTCATTTGAAAACTTAAAACACACAAACGAAGATCGACACCAGTTTATGTTTACAAACGTAGCTACACCGCCACCACACCTCTTTTTATTGTTTGATCGATCCTGACGATAAATTATGAAATCACGTAGTGATACTAGGCAGTCGTCCTGTAAATCATTTAACCAAGATTCTTGAATTGTGATGACACCACAATTACGATACATATTTTGACTTAGTAGGAACTGCGGACAGTCCACTTTGTTAATTAGTGATCGACAGTTAGAATTTAACAGCTCTGGAATCGACATACGATTAATGTTCATTCTTTTTAACGCATATTGCCAACCACCACGATGTCTTTTATAGTACTTTTTTGTAACCTGTGCAGCAAAAGGTCGTATGCTTTTCATAAAAACGCCTGAATAGGTTGTGCGATTAATGGACATAATTATGAGTTAAAACAAACGAAAAAACCCAGATAACTTGTTGAAATAATCAGATGGCAGAAACAGGTAGCCCAGATATTTAAGCAGGCCGCCGTTTAATTTGTTCGACTGTAGCTACATTTACATTGAATTGACATCATTACGAAATAAGATACCTATAAGGAACATAAATCCTACAATATTTAAAAGAAATGCAAACTTGCTGCAACCGATAGCATAAAAATAACATTCATGATTGATAAATATTGATATTGTTAAGCTAAGTATACCAGTCGCCTACTTCAATTAATTGAGTTGTAATAAGAAACCTTGTAAAGAATAGCATACAAGTTGAAATTAAAATATACATACACACACAACATACCATGAACCAACGGATACTTTTTTAAAGTATCGCCTGTTTCACTAAACTTATTGATAAAGTCCATATTTTCCAGTACAGTTGGATCAATTATCATCTCAGATTGGTGTTTATTATCCAGATTATATTGAAAAAATGGTGGTTCATCTTGATGTGATCCACGCATAAAATTATTGGAATGATGATAAGGAATGAACGATAAATCATTTCTCTGTGATGACTGAGGATAATCAACTTTAAAAGTATTGAATGATCTGGGCCTGTATAGTCCTGCTGTTTCGTATGCTTTCATTCGTGATAGTACCGAATGATGATGATCTGGTCGATATAGATGCTTTCTAGGCAATGATTGTGAAAGGACATCACCACCACCCTGTGATGAAACATCATGAAGTAGTCCCTTAGGATAATGCCATCCATCATCATCACTTGAAGTAAAAAACATCTCAGGATTGTTATCACTATTTTCATTAATTTTATTATTTATATCAAGCATGAACGATTCTTTATCATCAACATTGAATGATGGTTTTTGGTTAGCAGATTTAATTGGATGTGATTTTGTCAGTTGTTCCCTACCATTATGATAATTTGGTTGACTAGAATAAAATAATGGATCAGATAGATCGTGTAAATCCATCAACGCTGGAGAAGTACTTCGAGATGTAGTTAATAAAGATGGTTGACTGGATTGATATCTTTCCAAGGACTGATAACTTACATTTGAAGGTTTAGACAAAATTCCCTCGTCAAATTCACCTTGTTTTTGATTACGCGGTAATGACGGATTAGTTTCATTTTGCTTGTGAATTACTCCTGTGTACAGAAAAATTACAAATGGAAATTTTATGATCCACCTCTTAAAAAATGCTACGTAGAGAACCGAGATTTAGGCCATACTATTCAGAAATGTGTCCAAGTACATTTTACAAACTATTTGTGGTAGTGAACATAACCAGACAAAAATTACTCAATACAGCTTCTTTATTTCAGCACTGAAAAATTGTTTTGGCATCGTATTAAATATATAGCCATAGTTAAAGAGAGCAAGAAAGAAGATTGATGCAGAATAATATGAATTCATTTTATTTCGTTAGGTTCTCATTGGCTGCTTACAACCTAAAATATTTTAAAATCAACGTTATTACAGATATTGACATAGTTATGCGTATGAAAGTGATTAAAGATGAATATGTATATCATGATGTAGAGAAGATTTCAATAGAGTTAATGCCATAAAGATTTTGTTTCTTCACATAATCATCTAATGTTTGTTAACTTCATGAATTCTAATTACTATTTTAATGTTCTGGAACTTTCCCTCACAAAATTGATTTATCCGAAAGAAATTTTTTACAACCTTATTAACTCTATTGAAATCTTCGCTACATCATGATATACATATTCATCTTTAATCACTCTCATATGTATAAGTATGTCAATATCTGTAATAACGTTGATTTTAAAATATTTTAGGTCGTAAGAAGCTAATGAGAACCTAACGAAATAATATGAATTCATATTATTTTGCATCAATCTTCGTTCTTGTTCTCTTTAAGATAAAGGGAACTATATGTGTGAAATAGCCATAGTTGTTGAACTTAGTTTAGCGAGATTTGTAATTGTATGCAGTAATCTCTACTATTCACATGTTCGAAAAAATTTGAATACTTCAACATAAAAAACGATAATCAGCGAAAGTAGCATTTACACCGAGTGAGTATTCGGTTTTTAAATTTTCGAATTCTGCAGGACTAACAGTTATTTCTAGAACCCAATCAAAATACCATCAAGTGATGGTATACCAGTTACAATTAATGTCACTAACCTGTAAATAATTTGACGTAGAGGTATACCTAAGTTATGAAAATCGATTCCTATTTGCGCTCAGTTGTTAATGACAAAATGATTCAAATAAGGTGGTTGGCTCCCTTTAACATGATATGTGCTTTAACTTTTGACAATTCAGTCAGTTACAACGTAAGACCAGGCACATATGTGCATCGGTTCAAGTTGCCACACCTCATTAGCACAGCAAGACGAACACCGGATTCATAGAAGCAGTTAACTCAATGGTGCAATATATAAAGGGAAGATTTCATGTAGGGATAAAGTACACAAAGAAAGAATTCGTTCGTAGAAAGAAAGATATGAAATAAATTTAATCTCATAGTTTAAGGGAAGACAAAAAGTGTACACACCTCTATGCCATTGTGATCGATTCTGAGCCATGCTATCCAGAGTCTCTGATCATTGGTTACGATAGTCACGCGAACCCCAACCAAGTAGTCTGCATCTACCAACATGGCTCAGACTAGAAGTTAGTGACTTCAAGCACTGATGCCATGTTTTGGTTTGGCCGCCCCTAACTTTCTTCCAACCATCTCCAGCACCGGTTAGCATTGCACGTCGTGGTAGTCGGTGTTCAGGCATACGTAACACGTGGCCCAACCATCTCAGTCGATAAAGATTCACAACCTCATCAACTGATTTACCATCATTCCATAATACCTTGCGTCTAACCTCACCATTACATACCCGGCGATCCCAGCAGACACCAGCAATATTTCTAAGACATCTGTGATCGAATACTAGTAACTTACGAGCATCCCCTACTCTTAATGGCTACATCTCGCAGCCGTAAAGTAAAACAGAACGAACTGCTACGCAGAATACTCGTCCTTTAATTGATAGACGGATATCTCGCCTTCGTCATAGGTGACGTAAGTTGGTAAAAGCCAAACGAGCTTTTCGAATCCGTGGTGAGATTTCATCAGACACCAACCCATTAGAGCTGATCAGACTTTCAAGATAAGTGAAGCTGCCAATGCGTTCGGCTACTTCACTTCCTATCGTTAGTTCAGGTGTTGACACAGGCCAGTCTTTAGGCAACAACTTGTATTTGGATAGAGAGAAGCGTATCCCAAACATCCTGGCATTGTTTCCCAGTGCTATCAAAAGACTCTGCATTTTATCAGCGTCTTTACCAAACAGGACTATGTCATCTGCGTATTCTAAGTCGATAAGTTGACTTCCTAGTAGGAGATCAAGGCCCGAAAATTCCAAGTACATAGAGAGAAAACAGATTATGTGAAACCCATATTTATCGAATAATAATATTTGATCATATTCAGGAGTAATAATATAGCATCCCATCTTTTATTCCTTGATATCATGTCTTCCTTACAAACGATAGATCCTAATTTTAGTTTCCAGTATTGTTCATTTTATAATATACACTTGTTTCATTTTTATCTTTGACGTAGATGGTAACCAAACATACATAACGTCTCAATCTATGAATGCTCATAGCTTCTTCAACTTTTCTTTTGCTGAATACTCTAACAAAAACACTTACATTCCTTAGTGATATTACTGCATCCAAGTAACGATTTGAAGATACCTACGAGTGAATACATTCAACTTATCGGAATCTACTCTCAATATACACAATTCACAATCCTCAAGAACCATAAAGAGGGTATTGCCTAGTACTTTCTCTTTGGTAAGCATTTAGATATGTGAACCTACGCCACAGACAGTAAAAGTCAAACAATATTGACCAAGCAAGATAAATGATGCCAGTGTCAATAAAGTGGTGGACACCAGACTGATACAGACCATTTTCGGAGTGACATTATGCGACATTTGCATATTTATTAATCATGATATCAAATGATTAAATCGTAAGAAAACGGTAATTAGAATATGGGCTATAAATATTGCTGAAACTTGACGCTGGAACTTTTACCTATTAAAACGCTAGTTCAGAGAACAACTCATTTTAAGCTTAGAGAGATTTAACTTCTATTTTAATTACTGTATGATAGATATATTAACCATGATTGTATGAAATAGTTTAGTGACTGACTCGTGACAGATTAAAACAACCAAAACTAATTTGTTACATATAAAAATGCAACATACTTGAAGGGCAAAACAACTCATCTGATCCATCCGGGCATTCAACTATTCCGTTACATTTATCATAGATAGCTACACAAGTAGAAGAATCATCACACTGGAATTGAAGTTCTGGTGATTTACAAACTGACTGAACTAAAATATTACATTTTAACAGAAATACTAATAAAATGTGAGACTATACATACCACATGAACCTTTCTTAGCAATCCAACCAGACTGACAAATACATATCCCATCAGAGCATATAGTTTTAACTTCATCACACAGGTTATTTGAATCGCAATGTTGATTTAAACCAACTAATTAATCGAATACGTTGTCATTTCATTAATTACCTTTGTTTTTCAAACTCTGATTACCGTTTGATTCTTCCAAGACGATTGTATCATAATTGGAATGACTAGAATAAAAGCATTGTCCAGGCTGTCGACAATCAAACATAAAACAGGACTGTGTAGCCTATTATGATGAATTTTTTATGTAATGCAGAGATCAAATTTACCTTAGATTCAAATATTGCCGTGCTACATTCATTTGTATTGCAACACATAAAGTAACATTCCTTAAACGATGATACTTTTAACTTTTTGAGAAATTTAGCACCCGCTGAAATGGACTTTTGGGTTAAGATGATTCTGTTTGGCTTGAATTGAAAGTTTTTCCCGCAGTTATTATTGATGCTGTTGTCGATATTATTATATGTGAACGTTGTTATTGGCCAAATAGCAACCAAAAGTTGGTATGTTATGGTCAGAAAAATCAGATTCTTCATAGAGCGGGGTTTGAAAGACTGATTCAACAGAAAACAATGATCTTCAACCTAAAAGTTATTCACATTAAAAATGAACTGAATTGTAAGGGAATATTTTAGGGACAATAAAAATGACCCTAACAAATAATTCCTTACTGTATTACCTAGTGTACTACTAAAATAAACCAACAAACACTTATGCAGTCCACAATAAAATATACCAATAAAGCTTGCTCGAATGAAAAAAATGTCACAACCTCTGTACTAAAACGAAGTTGGTTATATACTGAGTAAACAGGATCATATGATCAACATCATGTATAGTCAGTCAGTCAACACAAAGTCTCTACCTTGGTCCTAAAATAAAGTGAATTGTGTGGCGTATATGTATTCGGTGCCCCTTTGTACATAAATAGTGGTACGTACCACTATTTATGTGTTCAAATGAATAAATAAAACTTTATACGCAGTATCCGTTCGTCCTAAACTCGAGTACTTTATAAAACGGCTAGCCCCTGACTAAAAAGAGACAGTGGGCTGTTGAAAAAGATTCAAAGAACTAAAACTAAGCTTCAACTCACTCTCACTCAAAATTCATTTGAAACGTCTTATTTATTTCAAGCGCATATAACATCTGCCGTCCTGTCTTTCATATCTCAAACATCGTTAAGCAGAAATAACAAACTGTTTGTTATTTGATGTATGCGTCTGGACAGTAGGTAGTGTCCTTGATAATAGAGAGATATAGTTCAAAAGGTTCAAATAGTTCATGTGATATTTTCTGGGATTATTCTGGAAACATTTGTAGCGACAAATAAATCTTCAAAATAAATAGCTCTATAAGTCTTCGGCTTTGATACTGACCTTATTAGTTTTACTAGACACACCATAGTTGAAGGCGTCCGATCACGCATTTGCACCAGATCACGAGTACGTCCTGCTTTGCATTCCTTGCAACTACTAGCCAGCTTAGATCGAATGTTACCCAATATATCGACGGTTTTCTAAATACATCTTCAAACTAATTTATCCCTGACTTCCGATTTGACTTGCCTGTTGTCTTTCGATTATAAAGATGTTACACACAAAGGCGTTGCTAATCCCTGAATACTTGAAACAACGTTAGTGGTGAATCCTACGTGATCTGATACACCAAACGATAAATTGTGAGTACGTCCCTTATTGTAACATTGTTTACTTGTCATGATGGTATTTCTGTGTTCTCGAATTTTTCGCCCATTTATATTTTACTTTCCACGTGTCAGAACACGCACCCAAGCTATTTCGGATTAGGACTCTTAAGTCTCAATCTTTCGATTCATGTCATTATGGCCTAATAATACCAGGAGTTAATTTCCACGAGAACCGTGTGACACTCACTTGTGCGATTCCTTGCTGTATCAAAGGCACTGCTGCGCGATTTTAAAAGGTACGTCACACCTTATGCTTACGTAATTTTTCAGAAACTTACGACATCTTAGGGAAGGTAATTCTTAAACAAAGAGGCGCAACAGATCGACAAGGGTTTAACCAACTATCCCATAAACTAGAATTGCGACACTGTTCGGCAACAGAAGTGTTGCTAAGTACGGGGGAGGGCATCAGTCAACGGACTTTCGACGAATGTCTTTAGACATAACTTTTTATCTAAGTCTCCAAACAGGTACAAGCATTTTGCGTTACATTAAAATATAATACCGTGGAAAAACTGGCTCCGTCTGATTATCCAACTCTGGAGATCATCAGAACATTCAGCCAAGGGGCTTATTCTGTCAAAAACGCCTCTTACACCTGTTACTCCCAATGGAGCATAGGTCGACGACCAGCATTCTCCAACCCACTCTGTCCTGGTAGTTGTGGTTAGCTCACTCTCAATCAAACTTAGCCTTGAAATACCTATCTGTATACGTTTATACAAGTTTGTGATACTAAAACAGACGAACAATAACGCAGTACACTAACTTGTTGTTAACATTCGTGATCCACACTTATTTGAGCGAAATAACGATTGTCTACGATAAAGCAGTCACAAAAGGGTCTACAGAATTACTTATTTACTTCCTTACGCCTGTTACTCCTAATGGAGCATAGGTCGCCGACCAGCATTCTCCAACCCACTCTGTCCTGGGCCTTCTTTTCTAGTTCCATCCAATTCTGGTTCATTTTTCTCATGTCTATCTCCATTTCTCGGCGTAATGTGTTCGCTGGTCTTCCTCTTTTCCTTTGGCCTTGAGGATTCCATGTGAGGGCTTGTCTTGTGACGCAGTTGGGTGCTTTCTTCAATGTGTGTCCTATCCACTTCCAGCGCTTCTTCCTGATTTCTTCCTCCGCTGGGATCTGGTTTGTTCTCTCCCACAGTACGTTGTTGCTATCAGTGTCCGGCCAATGGATCTGAAGTATTTTGCGTAGACAATTGTTAATAAACACCTGTATTTTCTGGATGATGGATTTCGTAGTTCTCCAGGTTTCCACCCCATACAGTAGAACTGTCTTGACATTTGTATTGAAAATCCTGACCTTGGTGTTGGTTGACAGTTGCTTTGACTTCAAGATATTCTTCAGTTGTTGATATGATGCTTTTGCTTTGCCGATTCGCGCCTTCACATCTGCATCAGATCCACCCTGTTCATCAATGATGCTGCCCAAATACGTAAAGGTTTTTACATCTTCCAAATCTTCTCCGTCAATTGTGATTAGATTGGTGCATGCTGTGTTGTATCGGAGAATCCTGCTTTTCCCTTTGTGTATGTTTAGACCTACTGCTGCTGAGGCTGCTGCCACACTGTTCGTCTTCTCCTGCATTTGTTGTTGCGTTTGGGATAGAAGGGCCAGATCATCTGCGAAGTCTAGATCGTCCAGCTGCATCCTAGATGTCCATTGTATCCCATGCTTCCCTTCAGATGTTGACGTCTTCATGATCCAGTCGATCATCAGGAGAAAGAGAAAGGGTGAGAGTAAGCAACCTTGCCTGACACTGGTCTTCACTTCGAACGACTTTGTCAACTGTCCTCCATGCACGATTTTGCAGTGTAATCCATCATATGAACTCTGTATGATATTGACTATCTTCTGAGGCACGCCGTAGTGTCGAAAAAGTTTCCATAGTGTTGTTCTGTCTACGCTATCAAATGCCTTTTCGTAGTCAATGAAGTTGATGTACAGTGATGAATTCCATTCAATTGATTGTTCCACAATGATCCGTAGAGTTGCGATTTGGTCTGTACACGATCTATCCTTACGGAATCCTGCCTGTTGGTCACGAAGTTGGACGTCTACGCAGTCCTTCATCCTGTTTAACAATACCCTGTTGAAGACTTTTCCCGGTATTGAGAGAAGAATTATGACAATTGTAATCATCGGCAACACCATAACATATAATCAGCACGCTTCTACTTCTGTAGTTTCAACTTCGACGGGGACACTTACCGGTTGGCGAGTCAGAACACTGAGAAGTCAACCGAAGTAGACGAATAAGCAACAAGAAATACGGCCCAGTGTTAACAAACAGATATCAATGAATACAACACTCCGAATTCTTTAACACAGGTAGAATAATAATAATATATTTCTGCATGAGCAGGTGCACGCCATTTTTACAGGCATGATCTATAATTTACAACAGTTGTTGGCGCACAGCATGCTTCCCAACTTATTAAGTTTATAGTTGTTATAATGTAAACTCGTAGAGCGCTAGCAGTAAACCATGACCTTGAGGAGACGCGTACGTCATGTTCGTTCCAGACGTCAGAAGTTCCATACCTGTGCCCTCAGAGCAAGATTGTGAAGAAAAAAAGAGAAGCGGAAGAGCAGCAAGGTACTTGGGTTTGAACGCCAAACGTTGACCAACATTGTGTAGTAGAACAGGCAGAGGTATAATAAATTAGATTAATTTCATATTATCTCTCTCGCGCGACGTCCTTGGATTTTCAGAAGGACTACTGAGTGCAGGAAGCTGGAACTGCACTACATATTAGTCAGGGTTGTGGACTTGTAGATGTGAGCTGTACTTCGGTATTAGTACTACCATAATAATAGACCTAATCCCAAAACTGTGGATTTGTCGCGAAATGAATATATGTTGAAGCTACATCATTCTCTGCATTGACTCGTCCAATGGCAACCATCAGCCATATGACGTTCAACATTACTGAGGGACACAGTTGAGCTGGGAAGAGAGTAATATACTTGATACACGAGGAAAGAGGTTATAGTCACTGCGCCTGAATGACCGGGTCATGGTATTTCGGTTTATTGCTGCCACGTTCACCATTGTTGACGGTCTCTCCGCGTTTAGTGTTCAATATGAATTTCCTCAGTTATCTCATGTTCAGTTTTAAGAATCGTGTGGTTAAAACCAATTCTAATACACTACAGTCTGACGGTGAGATTTTCTTCAAATTCGAAACCTCACTATGTCACGGTGGATAAACTTATATCCAGTGTTTTGTTTAGTTTAACCTATAGTTTATTGATTTTGGAACTCTCATCATTATGAAGAGTCAGTTCACTATTTCTGAAGTTAGGTGTCAAGTTTTGGGATGTAATTATAATCTCAGTCAAGGGGATAGTTCACATTGTCCTAAAAGTAACACTTGAGTATTATTATGAACGTCTATGAATTTTCGAATGATACATGAGCAATTAAATTAGGAAATACATTGTCTGAAGGATAACCAAAATCGTTTTATTGCATATATGTGCACATTATACACGTTTATTAATGCTTATGCACGCTTGGGTTGCCATAATCTTTGTTTTCCTCTGATGACAAAAACCGAAGAAGCAATGTATTTGGTTTGTATATTTGTATTTATTAGCTTGGTAGTACCTTTTGCGCAGCACTAAGATGAAATATAAAAGTTGTCAGGCTGCAAACTTTTCATATGCTTAAGAATAGAGGGTCGAGGCATCGTTTAGGCTGTCACAGTAGATTACACCACCCTAAACTGATGATGGTAGTCATTTTAGCGCTTAGTTACCAGGCGTTTTTAATAAGTTGGTTTAGAGCATCTCATAATTTTTTGCCTTAAGTGCCTACCACTAAGGAGAGTGGGAAGTAGGAGTTTGGGTACGTTAACATAGATGCTTAGACTATTTTGTCCCTTAATTATTTATTAGCCTCGTGAGTTAACTCAAAATCTTTCGGTTTTCTCTCACGGAATGTGTTCCAGTTTTTATGCACAGCTAGGTATGGCCCGGTGATAACGGTTAATTAAATCTAGAAGGCTTCCAAGTCCTGTTAAAAAACCGGCATGGGATACTGCTTAATTGTATCAAACTTGTTTTTTATACCACCCCTTCGGAGGAATGACGCTAAGTGCCTTTTTTGTATCCAAAAAAATGTTCAGGTTGTAACTTCGGTCTCCTAGAAGAAACGATCAGCTGTTCAAACACCCCTCCCCATACTTTGTGTCCAGTGGAGTGGTTATCCGCTCCCCATATTTCTGAGAGTCTGTTCAAACTAGGGATATGGTTGGCTGCGCCTGGTTGATTTTAGCACCAAACTTCCAGTGGTACTTGTAGAATTGTCCAGAACTTTTGAACTGACGTGACCTGCTGTGTGACCCGAATCTTAGTCCTTGTGGTGGCCTGATCTGACTTGTGCGACACATTTGGGTTTTGGTGACAATCTTTCACATGTCAAACACTCTCACTGGGTTCTAGTATAGCTGGGTCTTTAGACATTTCGTTTTGTTTGCGGCATATCGTACGTGGTACGGCTGGCAGACCCATCTCCATCATTATATTTGTAGTACGTA